CATCTCCAACCTCATTCATTGTTCCTTTTATAAAGTGCAAAAAGCTGCAATATAATATTGAAGAGTGGGGGCAGATGGTGCAGGAGGGGGGCCGAAGTTGGACTTCTGAAAACCCTGAGTCGGGATCTTGCTTTGTCATCATCATCATCTCAAGCATACGCCCTTGAGCCCAATGCTTTCTTTGTCCTTCCCCCACTCGTTTTCCATGCGCTTGTTGCAATCTTGCTTTCTGCAGCATCTATCACCATGGAGACGGAATGAGTCATTTACAATCGAGAGAGGACAATGGCAGGAGAGGCACAGTGCATGATGGGAGTGTCCTAGACTCGCTTGCAGTGGAATTGACATTCTCTCACTCCACTCCTGACAATGCTTCGGGAACTCCAAGAGAAGTAACTACAAGGCTTCTCCTGATGCCCTGTGACTCTACCCAGGGCCTTTGTTCCTCCAAGCCCAGGCTCAAACCCTCAGGGGCAGCCTACAAACAAGATAGCCTATCCCTCCCATTTTTCCAAGCACTGACTCCCCAAGAATCTCATATCCATTCTCCACTATTCTCCAGCTGACAGCTGTCAAATAAGTGGATGCTAAGTTTTCCTGGCCTGGCTCCCATTCTACCTGAACTAATGGCATTTAGAGATCTGTAAGTAATCCTAGCCTGGCCTGCTCTGGGGCTCAGGGACATCCAGCCCACCCTTCCCGAGAGGCCAGTTCTCACACTCTTCTAAATGGGATGAATTACTTAATGTTCAATCCATTATGTGGCTCTCTCCCGTATAGCTGCCTTTCTTCCCAGCTTCAATTCCCCCTAGCCTGTTCCTCAAAAAAGAAAGCAATTTTACAATTCAGGGTGGGGAAGTGGGAACCTACTGAGCACAGAAGAGCGTGCTTTTTAATATATACTGAAAGAGTATGGCCCAGTGCTGGCATATAGCTGATGATTTGGAGCAGTTTATTGTATGTAGGATCTAAAATTTCCAACTCTTTTTTTTAAACTACACACTCCCTGCAATGGTTATGCAAAAGTCTTTTCCTGTGCCCTGAAAACATTGTTTTCCTTGCTTTGTTCCTCCCCGTGGCATTGCCTTCATCTCACCCCCAGCCAGTAACTCGTCCTTAGCTGTTCTATTATTAAAGTAATTGTCAACATCCAGCTTGAGAATCCAAATAAAAGACCAGGTTCATTCCATTTCTGAAAATCTTACTGTTTATTGAATACATGGCGTGGTAATGTCGAAGCTAAACTAATTCTGAGGTCCCCAGACACCAGTTCATAGAATTAAACAATCTCACCGGCCAAACCCCCATCCTCTCATGTTGTCCATGTAAACAATTTCACTTTGTTATGGGAACCGTCTGCTTCTCCTCCACACCTGCTACAGTGTCCTTGGAAAGGTTTCAGGCTCTCACAGTCTTCAGCAGAATCGCAGAGGTTTCATTTCTCCATCTAACCATTTCTAAAGCAACACCTCCCCCCCTTACTCTAATGGCAAGTCGAAATGAAGAGGCAGGTAGTTGCCAAACTTTCATTCTTGACAGAAATATTTCTAACTTATTTTGACAGCATACAAGGATACTTTTGAGTTGTATAAAATCTATATGCCTTTCTCTAATTGTCTTGAAGAATTGGGGAACTATGGTGATGGGGAACCAAGGCAGGATAGGGATTGGTAATGGAGATACCAAATGTGCCGCATAATGTTGAAGGTTGTGCAGAGAACCGTATTCTCAAAGGGCAAAATATGATTCAGAAGACGAGGGTGAGTCAGAGATTTGGGAACATCTTGAAGCAGTATTTCTCAACTTGGCAATTTTAAGATGTGTGGACTTCAAAAAAGTGGAGAAAACTTCAATTCAGCAGTGAAAAATACTGAAAACCTAGGAATCTGCTAAAGAGGACTACTGGCTTACTATACTAATATTATTATTAGACAATTGTGCAGCATATATCTGAATTTCAAATGTAATAGATACTGAGTCCTGCCTGGGAATATATTAGAAATTAAATATTTTGCATTAAATGCAAATGCTTTACTTCACTGCATATGTATGGCCTTTCCATTAATCTTTTGCTGCCTGTAGAGTGGATCAGACATGCTCCTTCGGATCATTTAACAGACCTAATGGCTTTCCTGACTTAGCGCAATGTTAGAACATATTCTAAAGAAGAGGCTGTTGTAGATAACAAAAGATAATCAGCATGTCTGACTCATCACCGTTTATGAAGTGCCTATCATATTCTGAGCAGTATGCAAATTTGTTTAGTTTACAGAGAATTAATCTCAAGGTTGACACAGTACAAGAAAAACAGATGTATGGGGAATAAAAGGAAAATATACCTCATTAGGTCATTCAAACTAGCCCCCAACATTTTCATTTATTCTTACACAGATCATATCGAAATAGAAAGTTGTCCTGATGGTGCTGAAATTGGGTCTCTTAATGCCCGTTAGAGAACGTATTGTAAGATTTGGAGCCAAAGCATTACTTTATTAGCATATATATATAATCTTGAAGATATCAATGTTTGTCAGCATCACAAGTTGCACTTATATAAATTAGTATAAGAAATATTGGGATGTGTGTGCAAAATGAGCAGTGGAACAGGATGATACAACACATAAAAGCTTGCTGCACCTTTATCTCTGGCAGTCCCAATATGGGACAGGCTTATAGAATTATTTTTCCAAAAACTGCAAATGTGTCAGTTCATCCTCTCACATAATACACTGACAAGCCCTATCTTTCCATATAGTGTACACAGATAAATGGCTAGGGCAAGTTTTGTTTGTTTGTATAAAGGAATCCATTTTTTACTACTCTTTTGCAAATGGTTTTGCATAGTTTTGGATGCGACCTGAAAAGCACTTCGTGTTAAAAGTGCAGATTCTAAGGGTAACAGATTCTAAGCAGCTCTTTTATATGGAAAAATAATGAAATTCTTACAGTGGAAGAATAGATTGTGAAAATATTAGAATGTGGGAAACGGCAAAACTGACCTGTCTGGTCAGAGAATAGCCACAAAAAACGTTTTTGAAAGACTGGACACCTTACATGGACTTTTTATGAAAGAAGAAAAACATGATTTAATGATTTATGGATTTGAAGATTAAGAAAGATGAAGGGATTGGGGGGATTTCTAAAATATTTAAGAGGGGGGGACAGACAATAATGTAACGATTGAAAAGAAGGTTGGAAGTTATTTATATATTTCTTAACTTTTTTCTTTTCTGAATGTTCTTTTTCTTCTTTTTTCCTATTTTCTTTTGATTTGTGATTAACCACAAGAATAACAGAGTTGGAAGGGACCTTGGAGGTCTTCTAGTCCAACCCCCTGCTCAAGTAGGGGACTCTATACCCATTTCAGACAAATGGCTGTCAAGTCTCTTTTTAAAAGCCTCCAGTGATGGAGCACTCACAACTTCTGAAGCCAAGCCATTCCACTGGTTTATTATTCTCACTGTCAGGAAATTTCTCCAACCTAGAACTAAGGATTTATTATATCAAAGTTCTTAATATAAATAAACAAAATAATATTTATAATGTTATATAATGACAAAACTTATGAGTTATGTTATTGCATTTTCTTCTAAGTTCTAAGTTGGCCTTCAACTCTGCAAGTTTGTGAGGAAAAATTAGGTAACGAAAGATCTGTCCCTTTTTGAAGATATATCAAGCTCCACATGAAACCAATAGCTATTACTTCCAGCAATGAAAAACTCTCAGAGAGTTTTACATTAGAAGGTGTAGTAGCCATATTTTTTTTCAGCTGATCTCCTTAAGCTTCATCTAACCACAGAATCTCTTAATACCTGGGTTGACTTCAATAGAACCAAATTCCCCCAATATATAACCCTAACCCCAGCCCCCCCATTATATATTACAGAGTGGGCAGTGTAGTTTTCATCCTTTGAAGAGTTGTCCTCAGATGAGGCCATGACATCCTGTACTCAGTGGAGGGTGGCATTTTATTGGCAGTGCCTATGTGAGGTGCATCTGACAATCTAATTGGCTCTGGTTTGTTACAGGAAGGAAAGGTTAGAGGTGGGGTTAGAAACTCCATCATGCAAAGTGGTTTGCACAAGCCCTAGGATTTTAGTAGGATTTCAATTTGGACAAAAGCTGTGGGGAAAAAAGACATCTAATAAAACAATAAGATGTCAAAATGGGGCAAGAATACATGAGAAGAAAGAACAATTTCCCTACTTCATGCAATGAAGTCGTGCAAAAGAATTGGCCTTGGGACAACAATCAGTTTAAGACAACAAAGCTATATAGATAGTCCTGGACTTACAACAGTTCACTTAGTGACCATTCAAAGTTACATCAATGAAAAAAGTGACATGACTGTTTCTCACACTTACAACCATAGAAGTATCCCCATGGTCATGCCATCAGAATTCAGATGCTTGGCAACTGACTCATATTTAAGATGGTTGCAGTGTCCCTGGGCCATATGATCAATTATTGCGGCCTTTTGACAAGCAAAGTCAATGGGGAAGCCAGATTCACTCAACTCATGTTACTAATTTAATAACAGCAGTGATTCACTTAACAACTGGGGCAAGATAGGTCGTAAAATGGGGCAAAATTCACTTAACTGTCTCCCTTAGCAATCAAACTTTTGGGCTCAAATGTGGTCATAAATTGAGAGAGGGCCACCTGTAAAATGTTTATTTTGGAACAAGAGGCAACTACCTGTAACATGAAGAAATATACATCTTGGTGAGGAGGAATAGGAACAATTTCCAGTCTGGTGGAATTTTGCAGAGATAAAAAGGGTTTGCATGAACTCAACCTTTCCTGCCCATTCCCTGGACCTCTGCCCAGCCCAATAGCAAGACAGGGGGATGGGAGTGGCTACTTTATATGACCTGATATTTGTTTTTCCTCCCCAGCCACCATGCTGAGCTACAATCAGGATATGATGACGACAGAGACGTTGGAGCATCAGCCAGACCCTGATGGATGAAGCAGATTGAGCAGAGTCTATCCCAAACAGCAAATGTGCACAGCTTGTAAATCAGGGAGCCGGGTCAAAGCGTCCTGGAATTCTGAAGAGAACCCGCAGCTGTGAACTGCTTGCTTTAACAGGTACATCAGGATCTCACTAGGACAGAGACTTGTGGGAAGTGGGAGGGTATGTGCGTATGTGTATATACGCACACTTATGCAATGCCTGTTGCCCATTTTTGAAAATACTGCGTCCTGCCCTTTATATGCAACATTCTTCCAGCAGCTATTTAAAAAGAAAGGTTCTAGATTTTTTATATTTTGATATAAGTTGGACAGTTTGCATGTTGTAGTGGCACACAATTATGCCTTTCTGTTTCACATTTGCTGAGAAGTGGATCCTAACATGTGATTTTCTGCTTTGAAAGATTCTTAGCACAACAAGAAAGAAAAATATAGAAGATGTGGGGTATGTAGCTATAGACTGAAGAAAAGCTGAGACTTTAGGTTCAGTCTTCGCTAAATTAGGAGCACGTCTGTGGTTTTTGGTTTTGGCTCATTTTGCTTTTATTTTTGCAAATATCTCCCTAAATTTAGAGATTTGTTTTGTGTTTTAGTCTAAATAGCTCCAAGACTATCTGAATATAATTAATGAGAATCCACAAAGTTGCAAATTTAGAGGGCATTAGCTAATTGGTAAATGTTATCCCAGCCTTCACCAACTTGGTGGATTCCACCTCTCCTAATTTCATGCTGACTAATTTGATGAACTAAGGTTGTACTGAGCAAAAACTGAGTAATATGAATGAAACAGACTAAAGACAAAAGAAGAGTATAGATTTCTTCTCATTAGAATATTTATTAGAATATAATTGTTGCGTCCTTGGCGGGAAAACAGACACGAGAAGCAGCTGGAGTTCTCAGTTTCTTTTATTCAGCGTTCAACTTACAGGAAGATGGCTTCAGCTTCGCCCAAACGCCTCGCAGCCTCTTATATAGGCAACTCCCGGGTAAATGGGTTACTTTTCCCGCGCCAGCACCCGCGCATGCGCACGGCGCTGGCGACAGCCTGTCTGGTCCCGGGCAGCTTTGCACCTGCCCGGGACTGCCTGCAAACGCCCGAGCCGTTTGCAAGGCTCGGGACATAACACCCCTTTCCCCCGGGCTAAAACTACTACCAACATACAACATTTATTTTATATGACATTTTGTTCCCCAGTGCTCCCACTGTTTACTGGCCTTTGCCTTGCCAGCAATGTTATGTAGTCTTCTAGGTACTTGGGAGATTTCTTTGCTCTCTGTGACCTTCTTAGCTGTGGATTACTGGCATAAGTCCCCTGACTGGAGGGAGGCGTGAGCCTGTTCTCTCTATTGTGTCCTGGTGTCTTCCAAGGACTGTGCCCCGATGCCTGGCCTGCTTGCTTGCCCACCGGGCTCGTCAGGCCAGGGCTTCTGTTACTTTGTGACCTGGTTGACCTACCTAGCTGTAGACCCTCAGGCCCCTTGAAGTGATAGCCGCTGCTGGGCGTCTCTGTAGAACCTCCTAGGTCAGTCCAAGACCTGTCAGGAGGCTGTCCATTCCCTGAACCCCATTCTGTGTTCGGGCTCGTGTGGGTTTCTGTACTTTCCCAAAACTCAGGTGTTCCCTGATTTGTGCTAGGGTTGTTGTAGTCGGGACTTGGTTCCTCGACTAACTCTGTGTATGTTTGACCCCCTGTAGGATTTGGGGTAAGGTCAGGCCAACCTTGGGGATTGTGTGCCAGCTCTCTTGCGGGGAATGATTTGTTGGGATGCCCCCGGGTATCCTCCGTGACTGGAGTGCTGTGTGACGTGTGTGGAAGTGAGTATGCCCCCGGGGTGACTCCCTGGCTGGAGTAGGCGTGGATGCCTGGTAGTTAGGTAAGCTCATGGAATTCCTGTTCGGAGCTCTCGCGGAACCCTGGGATGGGCCGTTTGTGGCTCCCTCAGTGGAGATGGGCAGCAGCTCGTGCCCTTCCCTTTGCTCCAAAGGGTCCCCCTCCCCCCCTGGAAAAGACCCAGGAGTCTCAGCAGAAAAGTCTCGCCTAGAGCGAAGTTGGTCGATGTGCCGACGCAGGACACGACCGTTGTCCAGGGCAACCTCGTAGGAGAGAGGACCTGTGATCCTGGACACAGAAGCGGGGACCCATGTATGACCAGGCCCGTAATTGCGAGCCCAAACCGGGGCACCCACAAGTAGTTGTCTAGGTGCCCTAGGATGTGAGGTAGATGAAGGCAGTCTGTCCGGATGCAACCGGTCAAGTCTAGTAGTAAGTTGGCGCCCCCAACGAAGTTCAGCTGGACTTCTCCCTGTAGAAGTGGACGGTGTGGTGCGATAAGAAAGGAGAAAGTCAGCCAACCTGTGATGCCAGTCCCCGTAGGTGAGTCTCTTCAAGGCGTCCTTTGCGATGCGCACCATGCGTTCAGCCATACCGTTGGTGGACGGGTGAAAAGGCGCAGACGTGGCATGACGAATCAGGTTTGCCTGTAAGAAAGCTTGGAATTCGGAGGAGGTGAATTGAGGGCCGTTGTCGGACACAATGACATCTGGCAGCCCGTGTGCAGCAAAAATCCCCCTCAGTACCTGAATAGTCTTTGCAGTGGTGGTGGATGAGACAGGCACAACCTCAAGCCATTTTGAATGGCTGTCAACAAGGACCAAGAAGAACTGGCCCTGAAAGGGCCCAGCGTAGTCAATGTGCACCCTAGACCATGGGGACTGTGTTTCCTCCCATCTATGCACAGGAGCTTGGGGCATCTCTGGGCGAGATCGTTGGCACAGGTGGCATGCGTGTACCTTAGCTTCAATATCTTTATCTAAACCAGGCCACCACAAGTGGCTTCGTGCAAGAGCCTTCATACGAACAATGCCAGGATGACCCTCGTGGAGGGATTCTAAGACCCTAGTCCTCATTGAGGTGGGAATGACAACTCTGTTTCCCCAAAGCAGACAACCCTGAGAAAGGGACAGTTCGTTCCTTTTGGACCAGAAACTCTGAAACTCAGGACTAGGGCAGTGCTCAGGCCAACCCGGACAGGACCCAGGAGCGGACACGTGAAAGTGTGTGATCTGTACCTGTTTCAGCGGTAACATCCCTGGCACTAAGAGGGAGCTCGGGCAAGGCTTGGATTGATAGAATGTTGACAGCTGGCGCGGGGTCAGCTTCTACTACTGGCAGAGGCAATCTACTGAGGCCATCAGCATGGCCCATTTCTTTCCCAGGCTTGTGGAGTAATGAAAAATCATATGCAGACAAAGAAAATAGACCACCTAAGCATTCTAGGGGAAATGATGTGGGGAGTCTGCTTACGTGTGGTAAACAGTCCCAGCAGAGGCTTATGGTCAGTGAAGACCGTGAAATGCCTGCCATATAGAAAATCGTGGAATTTTTTAATTCCAGCAACAACAGCCAGAGCCTCCCTGTCTATCTGAGCGTAGTTGCGCTCGGCAGAAGACAGTGTTCTGGAGTAGTATGCAATAGGAACCTGAGTTCCATCAGACCTGAGGTGACTCAGGACAGCTCCAACCCCGTAGGGGGACGCATCACAAGCGATGCACACAGGGAGAGACTCGTTGAAATGTGCAAGAACACTGTTAGAAGTGAGCAAGGCCTTGACTTCTTTAAAGCAAGCCTCATGTGCTTGTGACCACAGCCACACAGCTTGTTTGTCTAGTAGCCTGTGAAGAGGCTCAGCTACACTAGCTTTATGTGGAAGAAAAGAATTGTAGAAATTCAGGAGGCCTAGGAAGGCCTGAAGTTCGGCCTTAGACTTTGGCCTGGGTGCTTCTAAAATAGCAGTTAGTTTGGATTCAGCAGGATGAATCCCAGCAGCATCAATTTTGAATCCCAGAAATTCAGTAGAAGGCACCCCGATCTTGCATTTGTCTTTTCTGAGCTTGAGGCCTGATTCCCTGAATCTTAACAGGACAGCCCTAAGTCTTTCAGCTAGAATGTGTGTGGAGTCTCCTGCAATCAAGACATCGTCAAAGTAGGGGCAGACCCCTGGTATACCTCGTAGTGTGTTTTCCATTACGCTTTGGAAAATCCCAGGAGCGACATTTACTCCAAACTGTAGCCTTTTTACTTTAAAGGCTCCCCTGTGGGTCACAATGGTCTGAGCTATGGCAGCATCATCATCAACAGGCAGCTGTTGATATGCTTGAGCTAGGTCAAGCTTTGCAAAAACACGCCCCCCCTTGAGAGAGGCCAGGATGTGACTGACCACAGGAACAGGATAGGCATGTTGCTGCAATGCCTTATTGAGTGTGCATTTGTAATCAGCACACAATGCGAATGTCCCCATTTGCCTTTAGAGGCGTGACAATGGGGGTCTCCCACGGGCTGGAATCAACAGGTTCTAGATTCCCTGTTGGATTAGTTTGTCTAGTTCAGTCATCTTAACTTTTTAAAAGCAAAAGGACCCTTCTTGCTTTAATATCCTAATGGGAGTGACAGTGGGTCTAGCTTTAAGACACAGGTGGTCCTTTGAATGTGCCCAGCTGGGGGCTGAAAACATCTGCAAATTCTTTGCAGACTTCCTGTAGGTCGAGTGTTTGTTAGCTGTTGAGTCCTGTGACGTGTATCCCCAGGGCCTCAAACCAATCGAGTCCTATGAGACTCGTTCGTTCACCCCCTACTACTAATAAGTCTAGTGGACCTTCAAAACTCTTGTATTGCACGTTAAGGGTGGCCTCCCCCTTAACACACACTCTTGCGTTCTGAAAATCTGTTAATACAATATCAGAAGGCCTTAACTTGGCCTTAGACCCACTACTGGAACAAATCTTCCTAAATGTATGCAATGAAATGATGGACAGGGCAGACCCTGTGTCTAGTTCCATAGATAATGGAACCCCTTGTAGCTTCACGTTGAGTGACAGCTTTTTCTTCATGGGCTTGTGTGTGCCTGTTCTACAGATGCTTCTTCGCGAAGCGCAAAACCCTACCCTATTCTGGCTGGGGAATCTGGTACCTTTCAGGCGTTCTTCTTGGGGTTGTGCCTTTCGTCGGCTCAGACACACAGCTGCAATATGCCCTTGTTTGCCGCATGCCCGGCAGGTAGCGGAGCGGAACTTGCAGTCGGTTCTCCTGTGGCGACCTCCACAGCCGATGCACTTGAGCAGAGCCGAAGAGCTTCCCTTCTGGTTCTCTTCCTTCGCGGGGTGTAGACGGTCGACTTCCTCGTCCGGATCCTCCTCGGAGTTTCGTCGGACGTCTTCCTGGTGCACGGACGCACCCTCTGCACTGTTTCTGATCGGCCGCATGTTTTTGATGGCGCCGCCTGCTGCTTCTTCTGCGGTGACTTCCCTTAAGGCGTCTTGGAAGGATAATTCTTCCTTGGCAAAAAGTCTCTGTTGTAGCTCTCGATGCCTTAGCCCGCACACGAATCGGTCCCTCAGTCGTTCCTCGAGGTCCTTGAACTCGCAGGGCTTGGCGGCCTTCCGTAGCGCGGCGATGTATTCCTTGGCTGTTTCACCGGACCGTTGATCCCTCTGCTCGAAGGTGTGGCGCCATGAGATAACGGACACCTTGGGGTGGAAGTGCTCTTTCAGCAGCTTCTTCAGGTCTGCGTAGCTTACAGACTCTACTGGAACAGGTGCTACAAGATTTTCTGCGATTTCGAAGGCGTCTTGGCCGCAAACGCAAAGCAGGGTGGCGGCCTTCAAGCTATCTTCCCTCACTTGGTTTGCCTTGAAGTAGTTCTCCATTCTGGATACGTAGGACTCCCACCGCTCTGGATGTGAGACGTCGAATTCCGAAAGCCTTCCGATTTTCGCCATCTTCGGATCTTCAGGAGACGGGTCTATCAGCCAGCCTACCCCCGAATGCGCACCGATTGGCGGTAGCTGCCGAGTCGACGCCGTTCCTCTTCCGCCGCTCAGGACTCTCGGGTAAGCTTACACTTCTTCCTTTCCAGGTAGTGCAAGGCATCCCACCTTCGTCGCCAGTGTTGCGTCCTTGGCGGGAAAACAGACACGAGAAGCAGCTGGAGTTCTCAGTTTCTTTTATTCAGCGTTCAGCTTACAGGAAGATGGCTTCAGCCTCGCCCAAACGCCTCGCAGCCTCTTATATAGGCAACTCCCGGGTAAATGGGTTACTTTTCCCGCGCCAGCACCCGCGCATGCGCACGGCGCTGGCGACAGCCTGTCTGGTCCCGGGCAGCTTTGCACCTGCCCGGGACTGCCTGCAAACGCCCGAGCCGTTTGCAAAGGCTCGGGACATAACAATAATGATTAGAATTAATGATTATATTCATTAGAATTACACTGATGTTGAATTTCTGAGATGCCTTAGACAGTTTAACAACTTTTATTCTTTTTATAATTAACTGTTTTACATCATTATTGTTTGCAAACTGCATTTTATCTAGCTTACTAATGCTGCAATAACCCAAATTCATCAAGCAACGATTGTTTTACATTCTATTTGGTTGCCTCTTAGTACAATTCAGAAAGTGAGTGGCTCTTTCACTACTTAGTATTTAAAAAGCAAAGCTACAAGGTAAATATTAATCCTGCATCATCCGGAAATATGGGGCCTAAATAATAAAAAAATAAACACTTTTTAAAAACGAGAGTTTGGGGGGGAACTAAGCACGATGGGCTTATATAGAGAGAGACACTTAACTTTATTCTGCCTGCTTCCCTCTAAATCCACTGGATTCTAAAATGAAAAAAGTAAGCAAACATTTAACACAGGTGCTTTTCCTATGTCTGTAATATTTTAGAAAATGCTGGCACTGAATTTCTGCCTGTCAGACATCTATTTTTAAGACCAGATCTGCCATTTTACAAAGAAATAGTGATGGCAGTACAAATGGTCTTGTTCTTCCTACCACCCTCTGCTCCAGCCTGCTAAAACTAGGTGGTTCTCCCTGCCTCAGATCCAGGGGTCCAGCCCTCTCAATGCTTTTGTTCCTGCTGTTTTGCCTCCTCCTGTTGTTTTAGCCCCAGCAGGGTAGGAGGTTAATGGACCTGTTGTTTCCTGCTTCCCCCTCCCTCCAAGGGCTTTGAACTGACAGGGCTGGATAGGAGTGTGATGAAAACTCAGGAAACAGCAGCGACCCAGCTTGGGGTCCCTTGCTCCTTTAATCTGCACCAGGTCCGGCTCCCAGTTGCACACAACAGTCACATTTTATAGCCCATTTTGATGGAGAAATAGGTCATGCATTTAAATCCGGCAGAGAGCTCCTTAGTAGGTTGCAGTCTAAATTACCACTCAACAGTTGTATAAGTACACCATCTTCTTTTCTGATCTCAGGTCAAACTTGGCATTTTGGCCAGAAAAAGGACAAACCTTTGTTTCTTCTGCCTCCCCGCTTCTTTCAGGAAGAACCGATCTTCCCTTGCAGAGAGAAGCAGACTCTGTTTGTAAGAAGAGAAATTTTATCTTGTGATCCATTCCCAGTTATGGTTCAAATGTAAATATAATGCAACACATTCGTCTCTTCTACTCCACATTTTTATTTCCCAGATGTCAGCCATGAACTCCTTTGTATTGGATAGGATTGATGGAACAAATACAGAACCCATCAAGGACACAGCGGATGCCACTCAAGTCACTCCTGATTCAGGTGAGTGATCTGGCAACTCTATGCAATAAAGCCTTCTGGATTGCCCAAGAACTATATTTCTCTTTCTCTTCAGCTTCTCCACAGGCAAATGTTTAAGACTCTCTCATAGAAAAATGTTATTGCTGAAATGTTAGAGCCAGTTTGGTGGAGTGGGTTAAGGCATCAGGCTACAAAAAGGGAGACTGTGTAGTCTCCTTTTGTTAGGCACAAAACCAGCTGGGTGACCTTGGGTCAGATACTCTCTTGTCAGTCCTGAGAAGCAGGCAACAGCTAGTCACTTCTAATAGCTTGCCAAACAAAATGAGAGACTTTGGCAGACAATTGCCTGCAAAAGTAAAGTAAAGTGAAGTGAAGTGAGGTGAAGTGAGGGAGGGAAAGGAAGGAAAGGAAAGAGGAGGGAAGGGAAGGGAAAGGAAGAGAAGGGAAAGAAAGGGAAGGGAAAGGAAGGGAAGGGAAGGGAAGCGAAGGGAAAGGAAGGGAAGGGAAGGGAAAGGAAGGGAAGGGAAGGGAAAGGGAAAGGGAAAGGGAAGGGAAGGGAAGGGAAGGGAAGGGAAAGGGAAGGGAAGGGAAAGGGAAGGGAAGGGAAAGGAAGGGAAGGGAAGGGAAGCGAAGGGAAAGGAAGGGAAGGGAAGGGAAGGGAAGGGAAAGGAAGGGAAGGGAAGGGAAAGGGAAAGGGAAAGGGAAGGAAGGGAAGGGAAGGGAAAGGAAAGGGAAGGGAAAGGAAGGGAAAGGAAGGGAAGCAAAGGGAAAGGGAAGGGAAGGGAAAGGAAGGGAAGGGAAGCGAAGGGAAAGGAAGGGAAGGGAAGGGAAGGGAAAGGGAAAGGAAGGGAAGGGAAGGGAAAGGGAAGGGAAAGGAAGGGAAGTGAAGGGAAAGGAAGGGAAGGGAAGTGAAGGGAAAGGAAGGGAAGGGGAAGGGAAGGGAAAGGAAGGGAAGGGAAAGGGAAGGGAAGGGAAAGGGAAGGGAAGGGAAAGGAAGGGAAGGGAAAGGGAAGGGAAGGGAAAGGAAGGGAAGGGAAGGGAAGCGAAGGGAAAGGAAGGGAAGGGAAAGGGAAGGGAAGGGGAAGGGAAGGGAAGGGAAAGGAAGGGAAGGGAAAGGGAAGGGAAAGGAAGGGAAGGGAAGGGAAGGGAAGCGAAGGGAAAGGAAGGGAAGGGAAGGGAAAGGAAGGGAAGGGAAGGGAAAGGGAAAGGGAAAGGGAAGGGAAGGGAAGGGAAGGGAAGGGAAGGGAAAGGGAAGGGAAGGGAAAGGGAAGGGAAGGGAAAGGAAGGGAAGGGAAGCGAAGGGAAAGGAAGGGAAGGAAAGGGAAGGGAAAGGAAAGGAAGGGAAGGGACTCATTGTAGGTGGAGCTTTTCAGTTGGCATAGCTGGACAGATTTTTGATACTCTGGATGAGGGGAGGGATTTAATGCAAAGCACCCTTCCCAAAAAAGGCTTGCCTGGCACCACAGTTCTTTTGCCACCAGGTACAGACATCTGTATTTCTCTGGCAATCATGCTAATGTTTTTTAAAATGTAAAATTTTATTGGCTTCTTCTGGAATTTTTATGTTAGATTTATTGCCTTTATAAGTAGTACCCCTGAGTTTTACATTGCATGTTGTTGTCTCAGTTGTTTTTCATGTTGTTAAAATATACATGCATATAAAAAAATAAAGTTTCTCTTCGGCTGAATTCATAATATGGAAGTGATTGGCCACTGCCTCTTCCAGCTTTTTTTGTTTTTCAGCTTAACTAACAATTTCAGGATTGGTCTCCCATTCACACAGTAACCAGATCTGACTCTGCTTAGCTTTATTTGACATTGACTAAGGTTGGATAGGTGCTGCTATCTGGTGCCTGTGTGCTTTAACTGATCTGTAGGACATACAGAGAACTATGCTATCAAAAGATCACAGTAGATCAAGTTGGTAGATATTGAGAGAGATATTCATGGATTAAAGGTAACAATGCTAGTCCTGATGCACAGGGTTACAGCTCCCATAATCCCTAGTGAACATGTATATTCTAAAATGAATCGGTTTTTCAAGAAACAGTTTTATTACTTACAGAACACATGAATTGGAACCAGACTGGCATCCACATTGCTCCACTACGATTCTCTCTCTCTCTCTCTCTCTCTCTCTCTCTCTCTCTCTCTCTCTCTCTCTCTCTCTCTCTCTCTTTTTTTTTTTTTTTTTTTTTCCCCTCTCTCTCTCTTTATCTATTTTTTTATAAAGTTTATAAAACTGGGCAGTTTACAATCATAAAAAATAAAAACTGTACAAAGAAAAACATAAATAAAATCCTACATATAGTCAAATACTGTGGCCCAATTAAAAGATGGGGAGGGTGGGAGCACGATTGGGAGGGAGGTGGGATCTATTGTTAATCTACTGTGATGCTCCCCCATTGGAGCCCTAAGACAACTGGCAAAGCCAGGTCTTTAGGGTCTTGCAGAAGTCTGGAAGGTTGGGAACAAACCTCACTCCGGGGGACAAGACGTTCCAGAGGGCAGGTGCAATACAATATTTTCCCAAGAATATCCCCATTGATTCGAACATAGCCGTCCCAAGGGCACAGTTCTTCCAATTCCCAGTTCTATCACATAGTATCTGTTTATTGATAAGTAGAAGATAGGTACCACTTTTAGGCAACCAACATGTTTTAGACAGGCTGCCTGGGATATGTAGCTTAGCATAAGAGTGGGGAAGTTATGGGTCTCTGGTGGTGCTAAACTACAGTTCACAAGACCTTTGACTATTGGTGAAGGATGCTGGGAGGATCCTGAAGAATGATAGAGTATTTTTCCTACCAGTAGCTCAGTATTTTCATAGCAAGACACAGTGAGAGAAGAATGCATGTGGAGGCAAAAATCTACATTCTAAGTGTTTATGTTTAGTATTCAAAGAAAGAGTCTTTTTCTGGAAAAGCAAGAGGGTGGGGTTTTTTCCGTTGGTAGCACCATTTCCTCTAAAAGAATATTGTGCCCATATTATACGGCCATTTTTTAACTACACATTTCTTAAACTAAGAAATTACACAATCCATTGAGCCTAATTTATGATGTGATTTGGAGATTTAAAGTCATTATTTGTCACTTGATGAGATTTTTACTAGGACATTATTCTCTAGAAAGAAGCCTACAGTCGTAATTAAGATGAATTAAAATGTCCCGTAAATGACTTTCAAATTTTAATTTATTATGTTTGTTAAGGACATGATGTGATTATTTACATTATTCATCACAAATGACAACAGCTTTTTGGGGTGTTTTGGGGATGCTTTCAATAGGCCAGGTTTTCCTAAATAAATGGTATAAGGCAGAAAAATATTCGCAAGGATAGTTGCTAGCTAGAGAGTGGGATTAAGGGAATGCCCACATGAACATGGATTATACTTCCCTGTCTCACAAAAGAGCAAGGGGCTAAAATCATTGTTCTATAGCAGCTAAAAGAGGACATAACACCCTATAGAATCTTGTCAATTTCACATCTGCTCACTTACCCAGGGCTACTGAGGAGATGCAATGCATTTGAGCCAGGATTCCCCTTTGAGGCCCAGGTAGGGCACTTGAAGCTCAGGAACCAGGAGGAGGAGTGAGACAAGCATTCCCTCCAGTACTGAAAAAACCTCCCTCAGCCCTCACAAGATCCACATTTCCAGATAAAAAACGGCTTCAGAAAGTCTCCCGCATTGCAGTTGAGAAGAAAATGTATAAGCTCAGTTGCCAAAGAGGGAGAATAATTTGGGAATATAAGTGTGCCAATCCAGTCTAAGAGTAATGCAACTCCCTTGTATGGAAATGCTTCAGGATGAGTTGTACTTTTTCAAATTAGATGATAGGATGGTCAGATAGGCTAGGATATCAAGCAGTGGTGAACATCCCTCTCTGAAAGTGAAAATCTTATATACATTCCTCTCATTGAATATCAAAACAAACCATATAATTGTGAATCTTGATCTACTGTCCCCCATAAGCCAGACTGGGCTGTCCCTCACACAAAAGATCTGCACATGGCTGGCATCAGTTGGCTTTGCTTCAGACAGCATGACTTCCTGGCAGGCTTCATTCCTGATAGCTCTCACTTGGAAAAGGAAGTACTGCTGCATAAAGATACGGTCCATGCTGGGCCTCAGGGCAGGGGCATGTAGGACTGGACAAACAAGGACTTCCAAAGCCCATTTGCAGTCAGAAATGGCAGGCCACAGGGACATTGTGTCATCTTTTTCTTCTGGTTTATTTCCATTGTCAGAGCTCATCTGCAGGAAATGCAAATGAAATTCACCTAAAAAAAACCCAGAATGATATGGAGGATCTGAAAACTGATAAGCAAATGCTAGTTTTTCACCCCATTGTTAGAGGTTCTGGAACCTCATGTTTTTCTCAGAATTTTCCATTCTTCTTCCACAGGCTGCTCCTCTTGGAAACATCTAGCACAGTGGTTCTCAACCTGTGGGTCGGGACCCCATTTAGGGTCGAACAACCATTTCACGGGGGTCGCCAAACAAGGCTGTTTTTCCCCCTTTTCTTTGGCCACGCCCCTGGCACCCGGTGATGTATAAGTGGTTGGGGGTCACCACAACATGGGGAACTGTATTATGGGGTCACGGCATTAGAAAGGTTGAGAACCACTGATCTAGCACATCTCTGCTAAAATGGAGAAATACAGGTTGGGGGGGGGGGAAGTTGACTGGACAATTCTGGAAGTTGAAGTCCATACATCTTAAAATCTCCCAGGTTAAGTAACACAGACTTAATGAATCAGAGAATTTGCTCTCAGAGTTTGCTTTCAGAGAACAAATCCCACTCCTTACTAGCATTGATGATGTTGCCTAGTTTGGGTAATGAAATGTCTGCAAGAAAACATCAAGCTCAGAGAGCACCAAGGACCCCTCATTTCAACCATGAGATACAAATGTTCTCCTTTATCGGTACACTGGCTTAAATATTTATCCAGTCACAGTGCCATTCCAGTGGTCATTCCTCTCTTTTCTTCTTATCTTTCAAAAATATTATTAATTGCATGATTAAACATCAATGTTGCTTTGGCCTCGCTTAACTGCAATTGATAGAACTCATTCCATCCATCATTTTTAAAATTTATTTCAGGGTCCCTTAGCTTCTGTAGAATTAAAAATCAAGAGACTTGTATTCCCAGACTAAACTATGCTGGAAGAACATAGTAGTCAACACCATTGAAATTCAATGGTGAAAAAAGCAAGGTTCTATATTTAGGCAAGAAAAACCAAATGCACAAGTACAGCATAGGTGGCACCATGCTCAATAGTAGTAACTGTGAGAGGGACCTCGGAGTCCTAGTAGACAATCACTTAAATATGAGCCAGCAGTGTGCTGCAGCTGCCAAAAAGGCCAACACAGTGCTAGGCTGCATTAACAGAGGGATAGAATCAAGATCACGTGAAGTATTAATACCACTCTTTAATGCCTTGGTAAGGCCACACTTGGAATACTGCATCCAGTTTTGGTCACCACGATGTAAAAAAGATGTTGAGATTCTGGAAAGAGTACAGAGAAGAGCAACAAAGATGATTAGGGGACTGGAGGCTAAAACATATAAGGAACGATTGCTAGAATTGGGTATGTCTAGTTTAACGAAGAGAAGGACAAGGGGGGACATGATAGCAGTATTCCAATATCTCAGGGGCTGCCATAAAGAAGAGGGAATTAAGCTATTTTCCAAAGCACCTGAAGGCAGGACAAGAAGCAACGGGTGGAAACTAATCAAGGAGAGAAGCAACCTAGAACTAAGGAGAAACTTCCTGACAGTAGAACAATTAATCAGTGGAACAACCTGCCTCCAGAAGCGGTGAAATGCTCCAACACTGGAAGTTTTTAAGAAGAGACTGGACAGCCATTTGTCCGAAATGGTGTAGGGTTTCCTGCCCGAGCAGGGGGTTGGACTAGATGATCTCCAAGGTCCCTTCCAACTTTACTATTATTATTATTATTATTATTATTATTATTATTATCCTATTAAGGGCTATCAACAGCTTCAGATATATCTCAACCTTGTGCATGAGATAATAGAGATTGAGTTGGTCCCTGGAGATATGCTAGGCCAGGAAACATACTTCACAAGGACTAGTAGAACTCTACCTTATTGCTGCAAGGTATAATAACAGGATCTTGACAGCCTGAGAGAGCTTCTCTCTTGTTATACAAAGAGAATCAAGGCAGGGTAGTTTTGAATTTCTTTCTCACTCCCTCTTCTTTTCCAGAGCTGAGCTAATAATTATGTAACCACCCTTGCATTTCTTCTTCAAGGTTATATCCAAATGCGTCTATAGGTTGTGTGAGGCATAACCCCTTGTGATATTGCTTTAGAAAAAATGGATTTTCTCCTGAGAGCTTGTGCCCTGTCCCCACTTGCACCCTAGCATAGCTCAGGTATGATGTAGCAGGTTCTCTGCCTTGATCTCTGACTTGTTTTTATCACATTCGCTTCACTTCCATTCCCAGCCCATAAATGGCATTCAGACATTTAGCATTTCCCTCCTTAAGTTGATGCCATCCTATCATGTTGTTAAGGTGCATAAAATCCATAATGTTCGCCAACCATTGCCTTGACTATGAATTAAGGCGGGCATTACTAGGTGTGTTCAAAGGAATATTGTGCATATTGATTCTCTTCTGGGAATTACACAACTATTTATCTCTCATTCTTTAGCCTGGCCATTTGTATTTCATTTCCTGACTTGCTTTCATAACTGTCACCTCTCCCCTTTTCTGTTTTTGATACCATTCCATTTCCATTAAGGAAGAAAGGAGAGCTGAACTCCATCTTTTCATCTGGAGAAGAAGAGAACATGAATTTGTGCTTATTGCTAGTTTTCTTGTATTGGTTAGTTGCAGTCATTGAGTGGTGACTCAGAGGCTGGTCAATTTCAGTTCCCTTGCTCTGCAATTCCTCTTCATGGCAGGTCCCCTGCCAGGGCTGCCTTTCCATATATGTCTTTATTTCATATAATTTTTAATTGAGAAATGCCAAAATAAACAGGAGGAGGAGACAAACCAACTGCCCAGAATTCAATTCAATTCAATTCCTTTCCTCCCCTCCCCTCCCCTCCCCTTTCCTTCCCTTTCACTGTAAGTTTCAAAGTCATGTCTCTAATGCACACAAGATTGAATTACCAAACTGCAGTGATACCTTGGACTATATTTCTATGTACCTATATTTCTATTTCTTTTGGGAAATAGGATCCATTTAAATCAAGGGGATTTACTTCTTTCCAAGTGTATATATAAGACTGCACCATAGATATTATTGAACTCTGCCTTTCCTCAAATAAAGTCACACTCATACATGTGTATGGAAGGAGAGACGTGGCTATTTCTGCTTTCAGTGATCAAGCATCTAGAAGCAGTAAGGAATATATCTTTCCCTGAAAACCAGATTTATTTGTTTAAGGAGTGTAACTCCAATGAAAATTTGGTCCTTCCTTTCACAAAGCTAGTGAGAATGATATGGATAAGAGCAAAAAAAAGAGTACCGTACATCAATAATAAGCAGAACCCAAAATAGACTTCTTGGTTATATTGGGCTATTGCAATGCTCTGAAATTCACTGTGATAGTCAATTATTTATGGAGATCTATACATATTGATCCAAACTTAGGTACAGAGGTTTCTACTTTGGATCTGCAGCAATGTTTCCAAGTTTTTTTCTCCAACCATTATTTATATTAGTTTTCTATGAATGCCTGTATAAGGCATCAATGGGCAACTTGTTTGGGGATAAGGGGATCCACTTGGCCTTTCTGTGATGTGCTGAGCATTGCCCTCCAAAAGTTGGTTTTATCTAAATTTAGATTAAGCGTAGTTGAAATGACTAATCCCTGTGTGTTTGAGGATTTCTCTCTTCTATTTTATTACCAACCTCTGAATGGATTCTAGGAGCAGTGGCTCAACTACTCATCACTGGTGAAAGAATATTGTAAGCCTCCCAGAGTTACTTGGAGGTAAGATGGGCAGCTAATAGATTTTACAAATAACAATAAAATAAAATACTGTTGAAAGAAAAATCTTCATCAGAGTCCAGTCCAAGCTGGGAATAAACAAAATGGAGACTGCTTTAGAAAGAAGGTTGCAGTTTATTGAAGAGGAGAGCCAGACAGAAAGATGGCTCTGGGAAAGCTGACCATATTTAGCAGGGAGTGGTAGGCTTTTATACCTCCTTTGGGCTTTGTATTTGGAGTTCTTCCTGTTTGAGGCTTTGTATTTCCTGTGTCATGTATTTTGACTTGAGTCTGAGTGTGATCTTTTGGTATTAGTGGGTTAATCTTATTATGTTTCCTGTTCTTAGAATTTGGGTGAGGGTATGTAGATTTTAGGGGTCGTTGTCTTCCTAATTTCAACAGCTTCTAGCTTCCTGGCTCCAACCTTCCTGAATGGATTATTACATCTGCATTTCTAAAAGCTAGTTTCTGCTTGGTTTTCTGCTTTGGGGAGAAGGGCTGGGGCTGGTTTCTGTCTTTTTTTTTTAAGATCTTCTCCATTATTCCTTTGGGGAAATATGTTCTGCCTTTTTAATATTCCCCCAAATATTTATTTCTCTGGATTCTTCACACAATGCTTTCTCAACGAGTGATGTGTTGAACCCACAACTCCCCAAAATGCTGATTTAAACTTATGGGAGTTGTAATTAGCAGCAGGTGACATTAATTAATTAAAGAAGTTAACTTCTGTTTAAAAATATGAACGGTCACTTTGATCAGAGTGGTGGAAGTAGAGATTGAAATCAGGGCTTGGAGGGAAGTAATATATTTTTTCCCCACTTCCCAAGAAAGTTACTCTTAACCACAGAAAGCAAATTGCTGTTTGAGCTACTATTCTGCCATGTATTAAATAACAAATTGATCAGATGTCAGCCTTGCACCTCTACCCCTCTTTTTCAATTTTGTTGCAGAGCTTCATCCTTCAATTGCCACCAGTACGGCCTGCTTGTCTTCCCAGCAGGGGAAGTTTCCTCTCCACCCTGCCTCCTGTAGCAATGGCTGTGGGGTTCCCCCTCAGGCTTCTGTGAGGCAACAGCAACCCCAGGCCTCAAAGAAGCATCGCATCAGCTCCACTTCCTCCGTCTGCACCAGCAGCAGTAAGAAGAGCTGCAAGTCAACAGCCTCTCAGATTCAGGAGGTAGCCGGGGATGGTGAGTTCACAGAGGGAGGGTCTGATAGGGTGGTTGCCAAAGAATGACCACTGACGGATAATGAAGAAGAAGCAACTGCCTGGGAGTATCATTTTGGTTCTCCAAAATGGGTCAAGGCTTAGAAACAAAAGTGGGAAGGCTATCCCATAATAAGTAATGAGAGAACAGGACAAAACCACTGGTGGACTTCAGGAGCTTCCCATTTGGCCCCTGATAACTTTTCCAAGGGCAAGCAGATACTTTAGAGAAGGACTGAGAGTCCTTTGTGAAGTAGATCAGCAGCTTCAAAGTGGCAGTTAACTGAAGTTCCACCCTTTTAAATATCTATTTTACACATCACCTTCACATAAAACAGGGTAAGGTATTGATCACCCAGTCATACACGCTCCACCCGAAAAGAATCTTTAAATTTGTCTTCTTCCACACAGGTGTCTGTAGCTTTATTAAGAGCCCTCTTAATTAAGAATGACAATTTCTCACCCAAAACATACTGTAGAGGATGGCTCTACTGTTAGGCAGAGCTGCCTCAGAAGGCCAAGAACAGGGAACTAAATTTCCACTCTCTGAAGGCTCAAGTGCAGGAGAAGGCATTAAATCCTGGTGAGATCTTTAAATTGGGTTCAACAGCAGCTTGATCTCTCCATGGCAGCTAGTCCATGGAAGGCCTTTCAGGGCTAAGTCCTGGAAAACAGCTGGAAGATGAGAGAAAGATGATTCTCTTCTAAGCTACCTAAGGGATTCATGGATGCTTTTGGTTAAGCCCTTGTAGAAAAACAAGGCTGGCTCAAGCAGACAATTGGTTTGAGCTTGCAGGCCTCATCCTGCTGTACTTCTGCCTGGCAATTAGTCATGAAGGAGTAGTGTGTGGGAGGCTTCATCTTGTCTTGGTGTGGGATGGGAAACATTTTGGACCAGCCTTGCCATATCAGCATTCTCCATTCGTGGATACGCTGTTTAAAATCTGAAATGTGCACTTTATAATCGTTGGGGAAAGTCCTAAGGCCAGTATCAGGAATGACTAACGGGGTATAAGACACGAAAAGGAAAGCTTAACAAGGAGGTTTGGTTCCATTCTGCCCATGTGTTTATTTGTAACGAGAAGTGAGGTTCTTTTCATCTCTTTTGCAGTTTTCTATGATTGTGGGGTTTTTGCAGTCTAGATCTCCGAAATGATTAGCAAAGTTGCCTTCTTTTATCAAGGCTAGAGAAAAAGCTCTTAAATCATTATTCAGCTGACAATGGTACTGTGTACCATCAGCACAGGGAGCATTTAAGGATGCAGCTATTCCACTTGTGGACTTAAATGGTACCCTTCCAACTGGGTTTGTGCCACGTGACTGCCCTGAAAATGTAGAGTGGCTCTTACCTATCTTCCCCTTTATGCTTAATGAATTTAAGTGCCAAAGACCAGACCTTCCTAATGGTTTTTGGCCGGAGATGCAAAAATAGAAACAGGCATAAACTAAAAAAGAGAATTCAGTATATGTCCCTTAGCTGTAATGTGGGATTAGGGGGCTCATTAAAAAGAAGAGATGTGCAGACTGGCAAATCAGAACCTTGATTCTTTCAGCCTCTCGAATGTTTAAAATGGACCTCCTTTTTTCATTCATTTTTATTACACACACAGACACACACATACCCCTACCAAATCTGTGCTGCAGGAATCTAGGGAGAGACACTGAATGTGCTAATTCTTTGGTTCAATGTCATGACTGTATGGATTTTTGTAGGCTAGCACTGATGGTCCTAAACAAAACTGGCCTAGGAATGGAGTTTGGGTTTCATGATATCCAAGATACCAGCCAGTTCAGTAACTGCTAGCTTCAACTTAGCATGCAAAGCAAATATCTTCAGATGTTGATTTTTGCCAAGAAAGCTACACTTGAATAAGGTATAAGGATGTTGCCAAATTCACCCCACTATTGTGAATGTGTGACCTTGTCTTCTTCTCCCTCATATTCCTTTCTACAGAGCTGCGTGCTGCCATCCTCTTAGCCTCTTTCTTCTTTTGCTGTTTTTCTGATATCCTTTCTGGGCCCAACTCTTTCTGCTCTGCCTGCTTGCCTGCCTGCCTATTACTCAAGGCTCCTGGGGGCTGTATTCTGACCCTTCCAGCTGTTGTTGCTACTGCAGACTTGAAGGATCAGCCCTGGAGTTCTGCTACCAGACTCGTGACTGTCTGGAACTTGCATTAGAAGGGTCTGAATTGTGCTATCATTGATTAACCCGGCTACCATGGAGGCTTTCTACTAACTGCCTTTCTTCAGGGATCATTATGGCAGGTGAGCAAAGTCTGACATTATTTCAAGAATTCTGTGTATCCTTCTTCCCAATATTCTCAGAATATTGTCATATCTTGGAATACAATAGAAGGAAAGAATACTGTGGCCAGTGGCCAGACTGATACTAATTTTATACTTCCTAAGCAGGGATGTATAGCCTGAGACCCAATTCTGAAACATTTTTAAGATGAGAAACTTAAAAAACTCTGGTGTAAGCCCTAATACAGGCATATCACTGTTTACAAACATAGGCAACCCATAAAATTCAACATAAAGGCAGAACTGATTTTGCCCATTTAGTAAGAATATCTCAGGAAGACCTATTAGGAATCTCTCTTCTCTCTGAAGTGAGGGGACATGGACAAGATGACACGCCTTCTCTAATAGACCTCATACATTGGAATGCCATACCTTTAGAAGTTTCATCCCCCACAGTTTTTTTAAAAAAACCTTTTATTTCACTGAATTTTCAACGAGGCTAGGTTTTATTAGCTTCCAACTTGGGGGTGGTTTGATCTATTATTATTGGCTCATAATTATTATACTCTTTACAATTTTGATTTATTTTGCACTTTTAGTTGTAACATGCCCAGAGTTGTATGTGCTGGGAGGGCTATTAAGATAGATAGATAGATAGATAGATAGATAGATAGATAGATAGATAGATAGATAGATAGATAGATAGATAGATAGATAGATAGATAGATAGATACAGAATAAATCCTAATCTCACTCTTTGCAGCCTTTAGTTTAGGCATCCAGGTAAAGAAATGTAGTTTGTCCTGGCATTTTCCATTATCCTTTTCCTTGGAGCTGCCTAGAGGCGTGGAATTCAGTTCCCAGAATGAGAACATGATTATTCCTGAGCATTTAGGGAGTTGAAATTCCAATCTGGAGATCGCCACAATGGAGAAATCTGACCAGGAAGGTCAGTAATATAAAATAATTCTTTGTTTGCAAAGAGTTTCGATCAAAGGCCAATTCTGCAAAATCAATGGGAAGAGATGGGAATGCTTTGTTCTGAAAATCACCCTTGCCTGGATCGCTGTTTCTGTGGGATGCTGAGAGCCGTGATTCAACAACTGGAAAACCCAGTTCTCTAGATCTTTTCTATGCCCAGCATTACGTTTTATCTTTTATAATTTATTTAAGGAAAGAAAATCCAAATGGGTTTATCTTTGGGCTGTTTTTAACCTTTCTTCTAATCAGTTTCTCTGCAGAAAATGTAATAAAGCATGTTTCACTGTCAAGTTCCATTCTAAGTTCTATCCTAACCTATTCTGTTGAGTAGTAAAGAAATAATCATTTGCAAGAGTTCAGCAGCAAGATCATGTTAACCTTATTATAAAAATGTGCCTGTTTGTATGTGGAGGCTCTTGAGCCAAACAACAAAAGCATGGTAAAATTAACCTGGACTTTATGTGAAACTCATAATTATATGGACAATTAGCATATCCTTATAAATCAGAAGAAAAGATCTTTGTTTGTTACAAAATGTGAATGAAATTATGAGATGCATTCAGCTTTATGGTCTATTTGGATATGCAGAGAATCAGAATTTTGATCAAAATTATCAAATAGGTAATACTCATTAATATTATAGATAATCAGTAATGGAAGGAAAAAGATATGTCAATAAGAGAATGGATTCTTAGTATCTGAAAACTGCCTTCCTTCCTTCCTTCCTTCCTTCCTTCCTTCCTTCCTTCCTTCCATCCATCCATCCATCCATCCATCAATCAATCTAAAGTTGCCCATTTCAACCAATGACTCTGGGCAGCTTACAATTCTCAAATTAAAACAATACAAACATTAAAAATAAATGCTTCTTCTTCTTAGCAGCTTTCAACCCCATGAATCATGGTATCCTATGGGAATTGGAGATGGGTGGCACTTTATTGTGCTGTTTTTTTCTCCTTTCTCCGGGGCTGGTTTCTATCAGTGTTAACAGAGGGACAGAGATCTAACCCATAGTCCCTACTTTGTGGGGTGCCTTAGGGTTCAGTCCTCTCTCCTCTTCTATTTGACATTTACATGAGGCAGCTGGGTAAGGTGATGTGTCAGTTTTGGATGAGATAGCAGCAATTATAAGAGTCATCTTATATTGGGCAGCAATATAAAGAATTTAAAAAATAAAATATGCAGATGACGCCCAGCTTTATATCTCTACCCCAGGCCCCTTAAGTGATGCCATGGATCTTCTATCCCAGTATCTGGAGGCTGTTGGGGATTGGATGGGGTGAAACAGATTCCTTAGCAAGACAGGGTAGCTGTGAGTATTTGGACCCTCTAGAGAAAAAGTTCTTCCATCTTTAGTTCTGGATGGGATTGTACTATCTCAGACAACCCAGTGCTCAATCTGTGAGTCCTTCTAGACTCAGAACTCCTGCTCAAGGATTTCCCACAGAAGCTTTTTTTTTTCAGGTAACTGGACTTTCCTGTTTTTCTTTGAAGACATTTCACTTCTCATCTGAGGAGCTGCTTCAGCTCTGACTGGATGGTGGGGAATGGAAAGATTTATACTCCTTGGAGACAGCTGATCATTTGCATTCTTTTAGCGAGTTGTTAGTGCTACCTGGAGGCTTATCTGTGTCTTCAGGGTCACAGATATGCAGATATGCAGTACAATGCAGTGAGCCATGTGCAAATCTGTACATTGGGGAAACGAAACAACAACTTCATAAACGTATGGCACAACATAGGAGAACAAACCCATCAGGACAAGATCCAGCAGTCTTTCTGCATTTAAAAGACAAAGGCCACTCTTTCAAAGACAGCAAAGTCTACATTTTGGACAGAGAGGACCCCTGGTTTGAAAGAGGAGTCAAAGAGGCCATCTATGTCAAAACTGAACAATCCTCTCTCAATGGAGGGGGAGGGATACAATATCATCTATCTCCAGTCTAGAACACAATCCTTTCAACAGTTCCAAGAAGGCTGCATACACATTTGCACTACTCAGGTGACCCCAAAGACTGGCTAAAAGAATGAAAATGAACAGATGTCTGCAAGGAGTATAAATCTTTCCATTCCCCACCATCCAGTCAGAGCTGAAGAAGCTTCTTGGATGCGAAGCGAAACGTCTTCAAAGAAAAACAAGAAATTCCAGTTGCCTCGTGAAAAAGCATCTTTGGGATGACTATGACCTGATGACTAAGAATCTCCATAGACATCCTCTCAAAGAGCAGGTGGCAGCTATGGTTAGGAGAGCCTTTGAACACCTTTGGGTGGTACACTAGTTGTACCCATTCTTGGATCAGGAGGCTCTGCTCACAGTAACTCATGCCCTTGTAACCTCTCATTTAGACTACTGCAACATGTTCTACATGAGGCTGCCCCTGAAGAGCATTCAGAAACTTCAACTGGTACAGCATGTGGCTGTGCCAATAAATAGTGCCAGATATAAGGCGTATGTAATACCACTCCTGTGTGAGCTGCATTGGTGTCTTCTTCTTGTGCCATATCCGTTATCGGACATTGGCGATCATGTTAGCGATCCTGTTTTTATCAGCAGCCGCACGAAAAAGTGCTGCTGAGTTTTGTTCAAACAGTCCCTTAGATTTTGAAGCCATGATGTTCTTCTTCTGCCTGGACCTCATTTGCCTTCAGTCTTTCCCTGGAGGATTAAATGGAGTATGCTGTATTTTTCTGGGTGTTGCATCACATGTCCGAAATATTCTAACTTTCGTTTGATGTTTTCCCTTGGCTTTCCCAGGCGGCTTATCACCTCCTCATTTCTGATCTTGTCAACCCAGCTTATATGTAACAGCCGCCTATAAATCCACATTTCAAATGCTTCTAGTCTCTTCAGGTGGCCTTCTGTCAGAGACAACTCTCCATAGAGCAGGACAGAAAAAATATAACATCTGACAAGCCTGATTTTCAGTCTTGGGCTTATGTCGTGATTGTATTGGTTACTGATATGTTTCTGAGTGCAATTCAAGATGCTGGCTGTTACTTTTAAAGCCTTACATGGCTTGGCACTGGGTTACCTGAGGGAACTGCCTTTTTCCAAAAGTTTCTACCTGTCCAACTCGATTTAGCAGATTGGACATGCTGCAGACCCTGGTCAGCCAAAAAATGTTGGCTGTTGGGATCTATTCTAGGACTTTTCTGCAGTAGTTGCTGAAGAGCCCCTGCTCTGCGAAATATCCTCCTCCTTGGAGATTAGGATGGTCCCAGTCCTGTTGGCCTTTTGTAAAGCTCTCAAAACCTGGCTGTGTTCCATGCCTGGGATGTGGTAAGGACCCCATTTCCTAGCTTTATTGCTAACTGTTCAACTGTCTCGGCTGCTAGGCATATTTACTTTGGATAAATATATTTATTTAGAGTTTTTTATTGCTTTTATTGTTTTAAAATGTTTTTATTGTTATATTTTTTTTTGAATTGTAAGCCGCCAAGAGTCATTGACTGAGATGGGTAGCTATAGAAACTGAATAAATAAATAAATGTATACAGCAGTCAAGATAATTAACAAGTTAAGAATAAAGCCAGGAAACAGGGCCATTAGCACATTCAGAGCTCCAGGCTTGAGTACACAGCCAAGCTTTTAAAGCCTTACCAAGCATTCATGTCGTAGTTCACAGACATTTTAGAATTTGATAGGGGAGACAGGGAACAATGATTTTATTTTAAAATGCTGCATTTCTTTCTTACAGTTTGGACTATTACAATAAAGAACAAGATAATATTCATCATTTGTTTTGAACGTTGTTCTGTATAAAGTTATATGACATACAAATGGCCAACTGAATCTATATATAGATATACCATGGCATCATCATCATCATCATCATAGAAGAGGATAAAGGTGAACCTTATTTTCTGATGGGTGAACATAACAGGTTTTCATTTGCACTATATATGTAATGCCCCACCCTTTGAAGTGGTCCAGCAGAAGAACAGTTTGTGCATATGGTATGCTGATAGACTAGAAAAGATTTCTGACTTCTGGGTTTTTTGTTTTGTTTTTTTTAGCAGGAAAATGTGCTAATTGTGCTCAATTAGCCACATGGAAATCTGTGGCTAATTGAGCAGTGATCTTGGAGTTCCCTTGTACTCCTAATCTTTTTTGTTTGTTTGTTTTTCCCTCTCCTTTTCCTCCAGACTCTTGTGCTCTCTGTGCCCTGGCCTGTCTCTTTTGTGAGTTCATGACTTTTTGCTCCCTCCTCCTGGAATGTGGAACCTGCAGGGGCTGCCTAGAGGTTTGCTGCAGTGGTGAAAGAGGGGAGCCACTCTCTGAAGGCTGCTGTGGCGACGCAGGTGTTGGGAATTGCCCCTATGGGCTGGGCTGCGGGATGCTGCAAGACTGCTGTGGTTCCTCGGACTGTCTTGAGATCTGCCTGGAATGCTGTTCCATCTGTTTTCCAGCCTAGTTGCCACATGCCCATCCAACGTATGCATGCCAGAAAGGTGCCCATGTGCCCTTCCAAGAATTCCTTCCCTGGCTTCAGAGTGAAAAGGTGGATGCTCTGAACTTTTTTTGCTACTGGCCTCCTATGTTGTGATGCCAATGAAGTATCTCCCCATTTTTGAAAACATCATACTACAATTGGGCACCAACTAGATGGCAGCAAAGAGGATACAAATACTTCTGACAAGTACCATCTAGTGGTTATTTGGATCTTAGTAAGGCAAAAGTTCTTTGTAAAGCAAAAGATTGTAACTGTTGGAATACCTCACCTCCCCACCCGCCCCATTGACCACACACATAAGGGATGGATGTTATTGTTCAGACAAATGAAGCACATTTAAAACAGTTTTATTCTGGTATAGTCAGGTCATCATCAAAAGTATACATTTATGCTATGGACATGTTAAAATTCTTCTTGAATCCTGAAATATTGTCAAATCCAGTTTCTTTTCTTTTGACGGATGTGCATAGCGCTATTGGTGATATCTTTTCCACGATGCTTGCAGGGATGTCCCTATAAGACAGTTGTGGCGAACCTATGGCATGTGTGCCAAAGGCGGCACTCAGAGCCCTCTCTGTGGGCATGCATGCCATTGCCCCAGTCCTAGGCCTTCAGCTGGGTTTTAAGCCTTTTTGCTTTAGGCCTTTTTTGCTGCCCTGTGCAAAAAAAAAAAAAAGGTTCAGTCAATCAATCAATTTCAACTTCTCGCAGGAAAAAAAAAGATCTTGCAAAGTTGGAATTGATTGAACTTTTTAGTCCCACCCAGTCTGCCGTTACCACTGCAGCCATGCTCACCCAATGGGCCACGCCCACCCAATAGGCCACACCACCCAATGGGCCACGCCCACCCGGCACCCGACGATACATAAGTGGGTTTTGGGTTGCAGTTTGGGCACTCGGTCTCTAAAAGGTTCACCATCACTGCTATAAGATAAAGCACCAATAGGATTTGTCCCTGGTCTTCTCCCCCTCCCTCTTTTAAAAATGTGATTAAAGCTCTGCTCCATTGACTTTGCAATGTTTTTATTGGATGGACTGAAACTGGAAGATTCTGCTGCTGTTAAGTACTGCAGAGTCTCAGACCCAAGGAAATTCCTCTAATGTGACAGGATGGTGTGTGCCTTCATTTCAAACATGTATTCTGCAACTCACTGCCTCCTGATGTATTGAACTACAGCTTCCAGGATCAACTAGAGAGCCTGACATTTGGGAAGGCTGAGTTAGACACGCTCCAGTTGCCATAGCTCCACTTGTGTGTTTTTTTATGTGCCAGAGAATATATTTCTATTTTGAACAGAATGACTGTGAAATAAATTAAATTAAAGGAATAAAATGAAATAAGAGAATCCAGCTTTTGCTTTTTAAATTTTGCTTTTCATTTTCTCTCACTTTCCATGGCAAATCTCTGACTTGCTATTAATTTCCTAGGCTATTATCATACCTGTGGAGATTTCTTATATATGCTCATCTTTATGCAGATAAATTGGTTTTATAATCAGATAGCTTCAGGATAAAAACTACTTCCCTTGGGCAACTGATTTGGAGACTGGTGGAATACAACCAGTAGTTCTTCTATTTTAATTTTTTTTTTACTGTATTTTCTCTCTGGAATTTTCTGAATCAGATGCTTAGCTTGGAGTAGTAGATCCTGCAACTTGTGAAGGGTGACGGCAAAATTTATTGTATTGCTGCAGTAGCAAAATATTTTGACCTGGACAAGATCAATTTTTTAAGAACGAATTTCTAGTTCTTTCTTTGGTACCAAGCTATAATCAGTTCGATTCAGAAGCTTTGGATGAAGCTTATAAATTGTTTTTGGCTAGGATCTTTTTACTTGCTTTCTAATTCTATTTAATATTCATATTCCTTTCTTATGCCCTAAATTCATCTTTCAGTAATATTATGATACTAAGAGAAATGCAAGAAGTCACAAACAGATGCTTGCTACTGTCATGGTTCCGACAGATGAAACCCTTCAAAATAACTTCGAGGCATTGTTTACCTTAAAGAATCTTTTATTCGTGAAACAAAGTATTGGCACTACATAGCTGAACCCAAAAACTAAATTCCCCTCCCCTGGATACAAAGTAGCAAATTACAATTCCCACCTCCAATAAACAGTCATAAATCACATTCCCCAATTAGCTTGAAGCACTGGGCTTCCTCCCCAGCTTTCCAGCCCGCCAAAATGCTATCAGCTCTGGGCCCAATGTCCTTGGGTTCCCACGGCCAAGTTATTAGTGTTATGACTAGCTGGACTCTCATCCCTATCCCCCCTCCCAGCACCAACTAATTCTAAAAGCATAGAGAAAATGGCTGCATTTTCATCTGCTGTCAAAGCAAGAACATCCAATGTTAGCAGCATTGACAGCTACATTGTACTTTGGTAACTCCTACTAACAATATTTCTCAGGATTGGGTTTACATAATATTATGACACAAACAGAGCCAATTAGATGTGTAAGTCATCAGGCGAGAAGCCAGGAGACCATGAGTTCTAGTCCCACCTTAAGCACAAAGGAAGGGGGACCTTGGGCCCATCACTTTTTTCTCAGCCCTAGGAAGGAGACAATGGCAAACCAGTTTTGAAAATCCTTGCCAAGAAAATTGCAGGGACTTGTACAGGTAGTCTCAGAGAATTGGACATGATTAAATGAGGAAAAATAAACACATGAAATGCAGACATGTTACCAAACAAGACAAGAAAGACTACGTGTCTCAATATTGCCAGCCAATCATAGCATATTGGTTGGGAAAGACTGAACTGAAATGCTTAAATTATATTTTTATAATAAGATATCTAATTTTGAACAATCTGGCAACCAACTACGGTACAAGATTTGGATGTTGTGTGAAGACATTAGCCTTAGCTTAGTTCTTTGGCTTTGTGGTGCTTGAGCCAACAGAAAAATAGCCTTAATGGAGTCTTAAAGTGGCTGATTTTTAATAAGCTTATAGCTGGGCTAACTATGTTATATACTATCCAGAATCACAATAATAGATTTTGCTCTTTTGCTTGCAGAAAAGCTATAACAGGAATGGTACAGCTTTGTGGGAGAATGTAAATTACTTGATGGGAAGAGAAAATTGTGCCCTTTGATTCTGCATATACAAACTTGTAGGACAGGCTAATTTTGTAGGCATTTCCAGCAGCCCAGGGCTGGGGGCATGGCTGGGTAAACTGCTATCCTCCCTTTCCCACTTCTTCCTCATACATGCCAGCATTTGTTCACTTTGCCAAATGATCGGACTAGACTAACTGAGCACATTCTTTGCATACAAATCATCCCAGGCTTAGACTGGCTCTCTCCATGTAAGGAGGGGGACCCAGATGGTCAGTGAAACCAAGTCTTCCCACAGCTGGGAATATGTAAATGGAGCTGCATAAACCTTTCCTATTTTCTTCCTCTTGCTACATCCAAGAATTCCCTTCCTGCAACACACAAATAAACACACACACACACACACATACACACACACAGAGTATGATATTTTTTAGGAATACTTACATTGGCTGATGATTTGATTTGATCTGAGGCAGTTTCCTGTATTCTTAGTAGAAGATGCTTTTTGTTCTTTAGTTGTATATTTGGAAAGATATACATTTCAGGCGGTAATTTATCTTATGTCTTATAGTATTCCATTGACTGATAATGGGAAATAGTTTATCTATTTTATCAAGTCTCATCAAGCCTGAACTAGATTTACTGGCCAAATAGCACAGAAAATTCAAGAGAATGGCCTGTGTTATGAAAATGATTTTTAAAATTAAAGATGACATGGCCAATTTGAATTTTCTTGATTTATGTCTCCTGTCAAATAGGTCCATATATGGTTTATTGACCCAATATTTCTCCTATTGGTTGGCAGTATCTTTTGTGTCAACTTCAAGCCTGCGATGTAGCGTGCTGCTGCCTCCTACTGCAGAGCTGCATGTATAGCGTCCAAAATATGTGGAGCACAAATATCACAGCTCACTTCTTTTTCATTCTTGCCCAGTTTAGTGGCTGAGATAATGGAAATGGGAAACTAACCTTATCTGCAATAGGGCTCATACTTCTATCCATCTTTATTCTGTGGTGGGAAAAGTGCTTCCGGTTTGAAAAAGTTCAAATACCTGATTAAATTTACTTTGTTCCAGTTCTGCTCTGCAGTAAATCAATAACCAAGTAGAATAAACAACTGTTCTGTTGGATCTTAAAATATAGACCTGCTCTAAGAATCTAATGATGGCAGATGAGTTGATTTGGGTTTCTTCTCAGCAATCTCCTCTTTCTAGTTGGTTTAAGCAAGCAAATGACCTTTACACCCTGATCTGTTTGGCTATGAACTCTGAGTTTTGCAGTCCTTGCCATTTGAAGAGCACTTGCTTGGGGAAATATGCAGTTGGGCAGTTTTCAATGCCCAATTGGGCTAGCTTTGGAGATAACTTGTGGGGGATTTTTTACATTTGTAGGTTGCAGGTTTGGGGGGCTGTTTTGGGGCTATTTTTAAGAGTGTGTACTGTATACATTTGGAGCGATCTGTCAAACTGTCATAATGATAACTGCAAAATCATTGCAGGGTTGTAGATCACGCAATACTGGCAAGCTGAGTTGGGTTGGCCTCCATTTTTGCACCTTTAGCTATTTGCAAACTGTGGAGACAACGTAGGACTTGTTAAAAATTATTTGAATAACATAACAGTGATCAGTGCAAATTTTACATGTTAATTCTTTATTAAACAAACATACAAATTTTGTCAGTGGTCAGAATACAGGAAGCATTATTGTGAAGACTGGAAAGAAAGAAGCTAATTTTAAGGAACAGATCAGAAAAGTGCCTGGTGATGCTATAAAAGCATACTGCAAATACTATAAATGCTAAATTTATGCTCTTAGGATGATGATATCTCACAGCTCAATGAAAAGTACTGCCAAAATGCAGTATCTTTTTCTAGCATGAGAAGTTTTTTTTATATGGGTTGATATCAGAAAGTTGTTAATAATAGTATTAAAACATCTGAACTTAAATTAACTCTGCACATTGGTTGCCATTCAAGTATATCAACAGTAGATCATCTGAGGGAATTAATACATGTTATCACAAAAAGACTTGGCAGTGTATTTTAAAAAATGCCCTTCTTTGATTAAGCATATGCTCAGTCCTTTGACTCCAGAGGATTCATTGTAAGATTTAAATTATGCACCATGCTCACTTATCACTGAAAAAAATTCTAATTTAACAGAGAAAGAACTCTACATCATGGTTTGTTTCTATAGTTCTAAGATGTGTAAAGTTGTGACATCTTTTCTCGGAATGATTTTGGTGAGGCTGGAACAGCAAAGGCTATTTTTATTGCATTAATTAAATTCCTGAATGATAAGACACTATCAGTTGATACGAGCACAAGGCTTGCAACAAATGAGTGTAATACAAAGTGACACTACAGATTCAGTCATAACAATTCAATCATAATTTATCTCTTCATTCAAGAAATAAAAATCACAGTCATGTGACTGCAAAACACTGCAATCAACTGTAAAGACAAACCAATTGCCAAGCACCCAAAATGTGATCATGTGACCATGGGTGTGTGGCCATCAGAATT